ATTCCCATTCTTCTCAGAGTCAGCCATAGCTTGTTGTGATCCACACAGACAAAAGCCTTTGCATAGTCAATGAGGCACAGATAGACATTCTTCTGGTATTCTCTGCTTTCTGCCAAGATCTATCTAACATTAGCTATAATATTCCTAGTACCACGACCTCTTCATACTTACCCCAATTGCTCCAGTTAGTGTATCAATCCATCTTATCTGGGGTTTTTTTCTCCTGCGCTGTTCCTCCACCCTTCCGAGCATGATGTCCTTCTCTAAGGACCAGTCCCTCCTGGCCACGTTCTCAAAGTATGTGAGACAGAGCTTCAAACTTCTAGCTTCCAAGGGGAAACTTGCTTTCATCCTCTCCAAGACAGACCTATTTATTTTCTTGATGGCCCATGGTATGTTCAAGACTCTTCTCCAGCACCATAACTCAAAGGCATCGATTCTTCTTCCGTCATCCTTAGTCACTGTCCAGCTCTCTAATGCATAGCAAGTTAGTTGCAAAGACCAATTACAGCAATGTTGTTAGATAATGTCCACACTCTGTTGGGTCACCTTCTTTGGGAACAGGAATAAATATAAATCTCTTCCAATCAGCTGGCCAGGTAGTTGTCCTTCAGATTTCTTGGTATAACGTGGTGAGCATGTCCATATGCCAAATGGTATGCCATCAATTCCTGGGGCCTTGGTATTTGCCAATTCCTTCAAAGCAGCTTAAACTTCCTCCTTCATCACCACTGATTTATGTTGGTACAGTGACTCTGGGAACTTCTCCTATCTTCTTTTGATGCTTCCCAGATTACTGAATATTCTGCCCACAGCATCCTTAAGTACTGTAACTAGAAGCTTGAATTTATTCTTCCAGGTTAGGACTCACTTGCTACCCACCCACCTCCATCAGCATGGTTGACACCAGTGTCTGGCCCTGCCTCAGCAAGACTTCTGACTATTTGTCTCCAGTGACACAGTCTACTCTGTCAGCCCCACCCTGGGGATCAGGACTCACTTCCCCAGTGTGGTCTACACTCTGCCCCAGGGTTGGGACTCACTTGCCGTCGGTGGCTTCCACCAGATGGTAGGCGATCCCCTGAGCCTGCAGCGCCCGCACCATCCGCTCCCTCCTGTCCTGCCGCCGCTTCAGGTTGATCATGAAGACCTGCAGCCGGGACCCCAATCAGACTGGACCTCAGCACCCCCATCCCATCCCCGGGCGGGCCCCAGGCATCTGTCAAAGCCCCAGCCACCACCCTGTCCTCGGGGAGACGCCATGGACCTCATCAAAGACCCAGCCCTCGTCCCCCCTTTGGGGAAGCCACTCGCACCTCATCAAAACCCATTTTATCTGGAGTCTGTTCCAGCACAGAGATGAACCTCGACGGCTCCACCGGTGGGTGCTTCACTGTGGGGAGAGGGGTTGTGTGGTCACAGGGCTCCTGAACACGAGGACTGAGGATTTCTGGGGTCGTAGTGGTAAGGGCCCCACATCACACTAACCACCAGTAGGAACATGTGAACGGTCACGAGCTGGTGCCCCTGACTTGTCTGGCCTTCCACTTTGCTCATGTATGAAATGGGGACCCTCGACATGGTAGGAGTTTTGTGGAAAAGGCACAGAACTTGTGTGTCACAAAAAGGTTTCTTTTAAAAGCAGCCAAAATCTACAACTTCACAATAGAAAGATCAAAGCCAATCAAACAATGGGCAGAAACAGTCTGAAAGGGATGAGCAATTGAAATTAGATGTATGACAATTAATGAACAAGGCAAGCATTACAAAGGGGACTGGGGAGGCTGGCAGGAAAATACACATCAATGAATGAATGAATGGAAACCAATTTCTTTGAGAATCATCAGCCCCCTAAAGGGAGGAGGGGACAAAAAGTCAGACCAAAGCTCAGAGTCACGAGCCACTATGGAGATGCACAACTGAGTCACAAGGAGACAGCACCCTCCCCATTAGCATGGCAACAACAACAACAACAATAAAAACGGTAAACAACAAGTGGTGAGAGGAGTGGAGCAAACAGAACTCTCATCTACTGCTGAGGGGGATGTAAAATGCTGCAGCCACTGGGCAAAATAGCTTGGCAGTTGCTCAAAAAGCTGGACATAAGAGACCACTCCTGCTCCAACTCCACCTACAGCAGCAACACCTATGGCCAAACTGGAGACCTGAGGTGAGACTGGACCTTGGGCGCAGAGGTGAGGGATGGGGGTGGGGAGAGCCAATATTGGCAGGACTGAGAACTTGGAACTGAGACCTTGGCCTAGAGCCCAAGGCTCAAGGGTGAGGTCCCTGCATCTACATTTTTGGGGCTGTCTTGACTGTATTCTGTTATTAATCTGGATTATAAACTTTTGACTTCCCCAGTATGGTTCTGTGTGGTCTGTAAGCAATTGCATCAGATTTTGGGGCCAGCAAACGGTAAGACTGGTGTTGAGATGAGTACAAAGAGGTAGGGAGTGTGGGGGACACATCTGACCTCATGGGAATGGGTTTTGTGTTATTGATGCTGTGGACGGGGACAGGTCCCCTTTGAGAAGTTGATAAAGGTTAGATATGGCCGTCTCACATGGCCCTGGCTGTTTTCACACACCCTAGGACCTAGCCATCTCTACCCTAAGTAGTAACTACCCTGGAGAAGTGAAGGCAGGAATACAAGGAGAAACTGTCCACCAATGTCCAAAGCAGTACTTTTCACAAGAGCCAAACGTAGACGCCCTGAAGTGTCCACCCAGAGACTCAACAGATAAACACAGCTTCTGTCCACACAATGAAAACAGTACTAGGCCAGAAAGGAAAATGAAGTCCGGATGATGAACCTCAAAAACATTGTGTTGAGTGAAACAGAAACCAAAAATCTAAACTCACTACTGTCTAGTAGATTCTGACTCCTAGTGACCTCCTGTTATTATGTTCTGTCGACTGGGAACCGACTCCTAGCTGACCCTTCGGCAGGTTATCAGAGGTAGTGAATCACAAGGAGGAGACTTCGTCCATGGGAACCGCATGCCTTCATGCTGGCAGAGCTGCGTCTTACCATGAGGCCACCAGAGCTCTTAAAACTGCCCCAGGGACTTCCAAGGCTGCAAATCTTTACAGACACACACTAACTACCTCATCCTTCTCCAACAGAGTGCGGATGGGTTCACACTGCCAACTTTTAAACTGTTGTTATTACACACTGCTGAGTCGGAAATGACTCAAAGTTGTCCCTCTAGTGGGTTTTCAGAGGCTGAGAACTGCAGGGGAGGAGACTGCCCATATTTCTTCCAAGGAGTGGCTGGTAGATTCAAACTGCCTGCCTCTGGGTTGGCAGGGCAACTCCTTACCCGCTAGACCACCTTCACACTAGTACCCACCCTGTCATCAAGTCTCTTCTGAGGCCAACATCTTTATGGGAAGAGACTACCATCTTCTTCCCACACAGAAGCTAATGGATTTGACCATCAAGTTATCACTTGGCCGTCCAGCACCTTCTGCACTACACCACCCGGGCTCCATTTAGACGAGCAGTTGAGGACTTAACCACTTGTGACCCCCGCTGTCTCTGTACCCCTCCCCTCTGTGTCTTCTCTGCACTAGGAGCAGCTTTCCTGCCACAGCCCCTCAGCCCCTGAGAATGGATGCTGGCACCGAGTTTGTCTCCACCCCTTCCCTGGTCAGGAGGCCTCTCAGCTCCTGAGCCGTCTGCTGTCTGCAGTGGCGCTGAAACAACCACAGATACTGACGGACGAGACCTTTAGCAGCCTCATGGTCCTTGATTTCATTTAACCCTAGTTGCAGCTTCTAAACCAGAACCATCTCAAGGGAAACTGACATAGGAGTTAAGATTATTGGGCTGGGGCTGCAGCGGTTGGCGTGGCTGGCCCTGGAGCTGGGACTGGGACTGCGTTTGGGAGCCTCATCATGGTTATGCCAGGAATCTTTCTAGGAAGCAACAGCTCTTGCCCTACGCCATTCTGGGCTTTGCCCGCTCGGAGACCATGGGGCTCTTTTGCCGGTGGCGGGTGGCTTTTCTGAGCCTCTCCACAAAGTGAAGGAGCCGTCTCCACCTCCCATAGTTTGCTGGTTTTCTCGTCTACCCTCCATGATCCTTTTCCTGTATCTCCCCAGGGAGCCTCGGGAAAGAGACTGGCTCAGGGTTCGACTGAGTGAAGATAATGAAATACTGTATTAATAAAATAAAAGGAGCCAGTGGTGCTGAGCTGACTCTGAGTCCAGCCCATGGTGACCCTGTGAGCGTCACATTTCCAGGGACTGACTGTTAGGAAGCAGATCACCAGGCCTTCATTCCAGGTATCTCTGGGTGGATGTCAACCTGAAATTGTCCAGCTGGGAGCTGAGCAGGTTCACTGACTGTGCCACCACGGTGCTCTGGGCTAACACCCTCCACGGAGTGAGTGGGGCGGGGCAGCCTGGACTTACCCATGACCTCCAGCTGCACATGCATGAAGCTCTCGGCCTCGTCCTGGAGCGTGCTGTGTGCACGCAGCGGCACTGGCAGGAACCCGTACACCTCCTTGTTGCAGACGTACATCTGCACCTCTGGGGCCAAAGAAACAACAGGAAAAATGAGAATGAAAGCACCACCAGTGAGCAGGAACACGGTGTGGGCAGGGACGCGACACAGCCCAGCAAAGGGCCAGCGGCAGGTGTCCGGCAGTGCCCACCAGCTGGCAGAGACCCTCTGGGGTTCCTCCAGGGAGTATTCCATTAGATAGTGTGTCCGGGACAGGGTGAGTGGACAGGCAGGCCTACTGGAAATCCCTCACTGTCTATTCACAGGAAGAGAAACAAGTAACATTTGAAATACCATTTGCCATTGGGCAATGCAAGAGAAAATTCCAGAGCTGTTAAAGAGCGCCTTGGTGACCAACTATTAGAAGCTTTTGAGCGGCAAGGTGCAGCTATTGGCTTCTCCCCATCTGAAATAAGGAAGAGAGAAAAGCAAAGAAGCATACAAATAGTTTGTCCGCAGGACCATGCAAACGTCCACTTCCAGGCCCTGACACGAGAAGAACTAAATGGTGCCCGGCTACCCCTGCTGACTGTTCTAGAAGGACCACAGTAGGAGGTCCTGGACAGAGTGGATAAAAAAACATGGAACAAAACATAAAAATGGCCAGGCTTGCTGGCCCAATAGAAATTGGTGGGATCCTTGAAACTAAGGCCCTTAATCACCCTTCAAAACTGGAACAAGCCTTTCTATGAAGATAGTGCTAAAAGCCAGAAAGAAGGAAGCCCCGGCCCTGCCCAACACTGAAGCCAAAGTAAAGGCTTTAAAGGCCAAGGGGGCATCCTGAAGGGCATCCATAGCCACAAAAAAAAAAAGAAGATCCGCACGTCATTCACTTTCCAGCGGCCTAAGATGCTGAGACTCCGAAGGCAACCCAAATATCCCCTGAAGGGCGCCCCCAGGAGAAACAAGCTTGACCACTATGCCATCATCAAGTTTCCCTCCCCACCACCACCACTGAGTCAGCCAGGAAGAAGATAAAAGATAACAACACACTTATGTTCATTGTGGATGTCAAGGCCGACAAGCACCAATCAAACAAGCTGTAAAGAAGCTCTATGTGGCCAAGGTTAACACCCTGATTAGGCCTGATAGAGAGAAGGCCTGCTCCTGACAATGATGCTTTGGATGTTGCCAACAAAACTGGGATCATCTAGACTGAGTTCAGCTGGTTGATTCTACATACATTTTTTTTTTCACCAAAAAAAAAAAAAATATCCCTCTGTGCTCACTTCAGCAGCACATATACTAAAATTGGAACGATAAAGAGAAGATTAGCATGGCCCCTGTGCAAGAGTGACACGCAAATTCGTAAAGCATTCCATATTTTAAAAAAATAAAAATAAAAAATATCCCTCAACCAAAATTGAAACAAAATGCTCTCCGGTGACTCAATCTTCCCCTAAACAATAGACAGGGCTATGAGAGGAATAGTAACACCAAGTGACACTGACTCCTAGGAACAATCAACCGTATAAAAGCAAAAGGGCAGCGTTCACCCAGAGAGAAAGCTCAGAAGGCAGGAAGGGGTGAAAGGATAAATGAAAAAGAGAATGACAGTGAGGAAGCAGGATCAATGCTGTTACATTTTCAGGGTTGTATTAATGTCAATTTCTTGAGAGATCCTATGGGCAAAATCTTGAAAGATCCAGGAAACATCAAAAGAAGATGGAGAGAATACAAAAGAATCACTGTACCACTGGCCAACCGGTGATGAAGGAAGAAGGTCAAGCTGTATTTATGGCACTGGCTAAAACTTAAGTCCCCAGGAATCCATGGAATACCAACTGACATGTTTCAGCCAGCAGATGCAGCCCTGAACGTGCTCCCCAGCCTATGCCAGGAAATGTGAGGAAAAGCTGCCTGTCCAACTGCCTGGAAGAGATCCATGTTTACTTCCATCCCGAAGAAAGGTGATCCAAAAGACTGAGAAAACCACTGAATAACATCTTTAATATCACATGCAAGCAAAATATTGCTAAAGATCATTCAAAAACAGTTGCATAGTACATTGAGAACTATCAAAAGTTTAAGCTGAGTTTAGAAGAGTTCATGACACCAGGGATATCACTGCTGATGTCAGATGGATCTTGGCTGAAACAAAGAACACCAGAAGAATATCTATTTGAGCTTTACTGACTAAGCAAAGGCATGTGACTATATGGATCATAACACATTATAAAAAGAATGGGAATCCAGAACGCTTAATTGTGCTCATATGAAAACTATACCTAGACCAAGAAGCTGTTGTGCAAATAGAGCAAGGAATACAGTTGCTGTTGTTGTTACATGGTGTCATGTTGCTTGCAACTTATAGCAACTCTATGTACAATAGCCCTGAAATCTGCTCTATCCTGTACCAACCTTATTATCTCTTACACCCCAGTCACCGAATCAATCTATCTCATCGAGGGTCTTTCTCTCTTGCACTGTCCCTCCACCATTCCAAGCATGATGTCCCTCTCTAAGGACTGGTTACTCCTTGCAACGAAGCCTCAGAATCCTTGTCTCCAAGGAGAAGCTTGATTTCACGCTCTCCAGGATGAACCTGTTTGTTCTCCTGGCAGTCCATGGTATATTCAATACTATTCTCCAGCACCACAGCTCAAGGGCATCAATTCTCCTTCTATCATCCCTAGTCAGTGTCCAGTTTTCTGACGCATAGCAAGTAACTGTGAAGACTATGGCCTGTATCAGGCACACCTTAGTCTCCAAACTAACATTGTTGCTCTTTAATACTCTGGAAACGTCCCTGACAACAGACTTTCCCAATGCAATTTGTCTTTTTATTTCCTGGCTGCTGGTAACAAGTGTGTTGACTGTGGAGCCAAGCAAATGGAAACTGTTAACAATCTTAATCCCTTTACTGTCTATAATAATGCTGCCAATTGGCTCTGTGGTAAGAATCTTTGTTTTCTTGATGTTGAGCTTCAATCCCCATTGAAGACTGCAGTCCTTCACCTTCTGCAGCAAGTGCTTCAGGTCTTCCTCAAAATCAGCAAGCAGGGTTGTGTCATCTGCATAACACACATTGTTCATTAGTCTTCCTCCAATCTTAATGCCACATTCCTCTTCATAGAGCCCAGTCTCCCTGATAATCTGTTATGCATAGAGCTTGAAAAGGCGTGGAGGTAGGACATATCCCTGGCGTACACCTTTAAGGGAGTACTACTTGATTTAAAATGAAAAAAGGTGTGTGTGTAAGGGTTATCTCTTTCCTCAGTACCTGTTCAATCTCTATGCTGAGCAAATGATTCAAGAAGCTACACTCTATGAGGAAGAATGTAACATCAGGATCAGAGAAAGACTCATCAATAAACTAGTTTATGTAGATGACACAACCTTGCTTCCTGAAAGTAAAAAGGACGTGAAACACTTGCTGCAGGAGATTAAACACTGCAGCCTTCACTATGGATTAGATCTCAATGTCAAGAAAACACAAAATGTTCACCACTGGATCAACAGGCAACATCATGATAGATGGAGAAGAGACTGACACTGTCAATGACTTCATCCTACGTGGATATACAATCAACAACACCCCTGGCACCACCAATCAGGAGATCAGGAAATGTACTGCACTGGCAAGTCTGCACTCAAGGGCCTCTCCAAATTATTGAGAAGCAATGATATCAGTTTGAAGACTAAGGTGCAAGTGATTCAGGTCATAGTCTTTTCAATTACTTGTTATGTATATGAGAGCACGATAATGAGTAAGGATGACGGAAGAAGTGAGTTGTCGTTTTGGAGAAGAGTACTGAGTATCCTACGGCCTGCCAAAACAAGAGCTAAGTCTGAAGAAAGTGCAGTGTAGGTGGCGTGCTCCTTGGAGACAAGGATGACAGAGCTTGGTCTCACCTACTTTGGGCATGTTGCTTTGTTGCTGTTAGACGCCATCGAGTTGAGCATGGCCCACAGCAACTATATGACCAACAGATCTGCACCCTGTCCTATCCTCACACTTCCTGACATACTAGAGCGCACTGCAGCAGTCACTGTGTCAACCCAGCTGGTTGACGGTCTTCCTCTCTTCCACTGACCCTCCACCTTTCCAAGCGTGATGTCCCAAGGAAGAACCTCTCCCAGAAACATGCAGAAGACACGGGCTCAAGCATGTCAGAGACAATGAGAATGCCACAGGAGGGGCCAAGGCTCAGATCGGTGTTCACAGGGTCACTAGGAATGAGAGTTGAGCTGGCTGCACTTAACAACAATAATTTGGTCTGTAAATTTTTACTCAAATCACAGTAATTTTTTTTTCATTTTCTACTTTGTGTGGACAATAAGTGCATAAAAAAATGTTCAAGATTGTTAGTAATTGTTATTGTTGTTGCTGATAGGAGCCATTCATAGTGACCCTATGCACACAACGAAACACTGCCCGGTCCTGTAACATCCTAACAATTATTGCTTGTGTGTGATTTCAGTGCTGCAGCCAACGTGTCAAGCCACCTCTTCGAAAGTCGTCTTCTTTTTCTCTGACTCTCTGCTTTACCAAGTGTGAAATCCTTCTCTAGGGACCGGCCCTTCCTGAAAACATTTCTAAAGTATCTGAGAAAAAGTCTCCCCACCCTTGCTTCTAGGGGGTAGCACGGCTGTAATTTGCCCAGGGTGGGTTTCTTCATTCTCCTGGAAGACGAAGGATAAACGTGTGGTCCAGCCATAAATGGAATGTTACTCAGCCATGAAGAGAAATGAAGACTCACTCACTGCATGCCACGGCCCTGATGGACCTTGAAAATGGGTGGTGAGTGACAGAGACGGTCACAAAAGGACTAATATTGTAAAACCCCGCCGATCTAGCGTATCCAGCACAGGCACACGCACAGGAGCCGCTATGAGCACTGAGAGCAAGGAGGGACAGGGAAGCGGGTCAGTATTTGGTGGACACCGCGCTTCTGTTAAACAAAACAAAACAGAACACTCCTTGCTGTCACAGTGACTCTCAAGAGGGTCTCTAAAGCTGTCCATCTTTACAAGAGGAGGCTGCCCATCCTCCTTCCGTGGAGGCCTCGGTGGATTTGAACTGCTGACCTCTCAGTCAGCAGCCCAATCAATACATGACGTACTACATCTTTCAGCACTTCCATCAAGAGTGACAGTGACATCTGGAAATTGGTCACAGTCGCGGCTGCACAACACGATGAAAATGATAAACGCCACCGAAGTGTACAAGTGGAAAGGAGGTTGGAGTGGCATGTTCGTTATGTGCACATTTATCACAACAAAATACATTTGAATTTTATAAATAAACTAGTAGAAAAATAAAAAAAGAAAATTTTTTTTAAAAAGGAATGTATCATTTAGGTACTGTTGGTATGACAAGAGTCCAGAATAAGAGCTGCAGAGCAAAATGGTCTGGGGGCGCTGCTGTGTAACAATGAAGGAACTTTATTTCCAAAGAAAAAAGCAAACTAGGGGTGGGGGGCAGGGAGGAAAACGTGCAACAAGGAATTAATGAAAATCCAAGTTCTTTATAAACTTACAATAAAATCTCAGTTAAAAAAATAAAAAGCAAAAAACAAGCAGGGGAACCCACCCACCTACCCCTGCAGGTAGTGTACATTCCACCTCTCATCACCAGGGGGAGCCATAGACCCTGCAAGGTCAAGTTAGGTGGGAGCGTGGAGGACAGGACTGTGCTAGACTGAGGAATAACAACAGGTCAGCACCAAAGTGTTGCTATCTTTCACATCTTTAAAATATTACTATCCTCCTAGAGGTACACGGTTCGAATCCACCAGATGCTCTGCCGGGAAAGGAGGGGCAATCTCCTCCTGTACCAGTCAGATCTGATTTGACGGTACACACACACACACACACACAAAATAATTTTTAAAAAAATTTAAAAAAAAACATTACTATCCGTATTATTATCGTTGAGTCATCAAGTCAGAGCTGACCCTCCAGTGGGTTTTCAGAGGCAGTCAATAGAGCAGAAGGAGACCACCCAACCTTCTACGAAGCATCTGGGGGATTCAAATCACGTGCCTTTGGGATTGCAGTGCGGCTTCTTACCACTAGGCCAACACCCAAAGAATACAGATAAGAACCAAGTAAAGCAAACTCTCAATTAAAAGACCAAAAAAAGTGCTGTGGAATCAGCTCATGTCAACCCCACATCTGGTCAAGCAGAACTGCCCTGCAAGGTTTTAACGGCTGTCATCTCAATGGAAGCAGATATGCTGTCTTTCATCCAGTGCCTCTGGGGTGGGGGTGGGGGTCTAAACCACCAATCTTTGAGTTTATTCTTGAATATATGCCATTTGAGTCATCAGGATACTGACCTTCAATAAAAGGGTTCTTAAAGAGTTGTTATTTTTTATAACATTGAGAAGAAAGGGAATTCCAGAACACTTCATTGTGCTCCTGCTAATCCTACATACAGACCAGTCACGCAGCAGAACAAGGGAACACTGTATGGTTTACAATCAAGAAAGGTGTGTGTCAGGGCTGTGTCCTTTTTCTACACTTATTCAAACTGTGTTGAGCAAATCAGTCTAGAAGGACAGTATGAAGAAAAACGTGGCACCAAGATTAGAGGAAGACTCATCAGCAACCTGCATCATGCAGACAACACAACTTCGCTTGCTGAAAGTGAAGAGGACTTGAAACGCTTGCTGAAGAAGATCAAAGACTTAGAGCCTTTCAAACATGGATTGCATCTCAACTCAATGTCAAGGAAACAAAATCCTAACTGCTGGGAGAATAGGCGACATCACGATAGATGGAGAAGAAACAGACACTGTCAATTATTTCACTTCACTGAGATCTACAATCAGCAGGCATGGTAGCAGCACTCAAGAAATCAAAAGACATGTGGCGTGGGGTAAATGTGCTGTCAAGGAATTTCCAAAGTGTTAAAGACAAGAATGGAAATTTAAAAGCTAAGGTACAGCAGATCCAAGCCATGGTATTTTCAATTACTTCTTGTGTATCTGAAAGTTGGACAATGAATAAGAATGATCAAAAAAGAACCAATACCTTTGAGTTGTGGTGTTGGAGACATTCCACAGACTGCCCAAAGAACAAACAGGTCTGTCCTGCAGGGAGTGAAGTTACAGTGCTCCTTCGAGGCAAGGATGGTGGAATTTTGTCTCACATACTTTGGGGGTGTTAATCAGGAATGGCCAGACTTTGAAAAAAGACATCATGCTGGGCGGAGGGTCAGAGAAGGAGACGAAGACCCTCAACAAGACAGAAAGACAGACTGACTATAACAATGGAGACTGTGAGGGTGGCACAGCAGAGGGCAAAGGGTCATTACGAATGGCGGTTGAAGCCAACTCACAAAGCCAAGGCCAGAGAAAGGCTGGGTCCTGGTGACGTCATGTGAACACCTAGATACAGCCATGCCTGACGCTGCAGCTGCACTCCACACTTCCGGCTCAGTGAGTCTTCTGTGAGCTCTGTCTGGGATGGCTCCATGAGGGTCCCAAGGAACCAGTCAGAGATGCCCACCACATGTACTCACCTGCCTGCTTGCAAGAGAAGGCGAAGACGATGATGTCATCAAAGGACCAGGTGTAGTCGGGATGAGGTGGGTAAAAGGCCAGGTTCCTGGAGGCTGCCTTACGCAGGTCGATCAGGAAGGTGGAGTGCACCATGGGCACAGGGAAGCAGCCCCGGCGGTCCCGTTTGCGGATGGGGATGTAGGCAGGCGTGCGCTTGTAGTAGCCCTGCAGGGGTGAGGGAGGCAGAGAGAGTTATCCACCAGGAGTCTCAGCTGCTACCGACTGTATCATATCCCTCAAAATAAGAGGCAGAGTCCTAAACCTACACCTGCCAAGCAGATGCTGGGATGTGAATGGTTAAGTGATCAGTTACTAGTCAAAAGGTTGGTGGTTCAATTCGGATGGCCAACAGACACACAAAGAAATTCTCAAAATTACTAGCAATAAGAGAGATGCAAATAAAAACCACAATGAGACACCATCTCACCCCAGTATCAGTGGCAAAGTTTAACAGGGCAGCAAGCAATAAAGTTTGGAGAGGATGTGGACAGATAGGAACTCTCATACACTGTTGGTAGGATTGTAAAATGGTACAACCACTCTGGAAAACAGTTTGGCATTTCCTCGAAGACTTGAACACAGAAATTCTCTAAGCAGCTATTCCACTGCTTGGAGTATACCCTGAGAGAATGAGAACTGAGGCACAAATGAAGACTTGTAAATCAATGTTCATAGCATTGTTATTCAAAATGCAAAAACACAGAAACAGCCCAAAAGTCCAACCACAATCAAATGGATTCAGAAATTGTGGTATAGGGGAGCTCTGGTGGCCTAGTGGCAAGAAGCTGCACTGCAATCCCAGAGGAACACGGTTCGAATCCACCAGATGCTCTGCCGGAGAAGGAGGCGCAATATCCTCCTGTACCAGTCAGATCTGATTTGACGGTACACGCACAAAAAATAATAAAAAAAAAATTAAAAAAAAAAAAGAAATTGTGGTATATTCACAAAATGGAACACTATGCAGCACTCAGGAGCAATGATTTGGAAAATTGGGAGGAACTGGAGAGCATTATACTGAGTGAACTAACTCAGTCTCAAAATGACAAATACTGCTTAAGCCCATTATTGTGAAAATTGAAGGATGATTAGTAAAACATTTACAGAGACTCAAGGGGGGAAGGGGTGGGGCCAGAGGGGAGGGGGTGGGGGGGGAAATCACAGCGTTGAACAATTCGGTGGGTGGAAAGAGGGGGTAAAGGAAATGGGAGAGATTAAGACAGGGTTTGGCGGGCATAATTCAAAGGGGATTATGTTTATAAAACACAATGTATGGGAATGATTGTGTGGAACACAATTTGAAAGCAGGAAAGTGTGAAGCACAATGTACACGAATTTTTATACAAACTAACATAAAATAATTTTTTTAAAAAAAAGGTTGGTGGTTCAAACACGCAGAGGTGCCTCGGGAGACAGGCCTGGCAATCTGCTGCTGAAAGACCACAGCCTGGAAAACCCAGCAGAGAGGATGCACGCTGCACAGCCGGGGTCACCAAACATTAAAATCAGCTTGATGGCAACTAAACCACAACATGGACGTTGATCCCACTGGGGAAGAGGATTTACGTTTTATGACCAGGAGGCTGCATCAGGTGGGGTGGGGTCTTAATGCTTCACTCTGAGTTAGAAAGAGCACACCGGGCAGAGAAAAGGCGGGTCGGCGCTCCCCAGGCGTGTCCACGGCCCAGCAGCTCCATGGCCGGCTGGCTGTGGACACTGAGGCAAGGACTCGACTGCCCCTCACTTCTAGCCTCCTGAACTGTGAGGAAAGCATTTCTAACCACCTGCATGTGGTATTTCTGCTACAGCAGAGCCAGGTAGAAGACACCCAACGTTGTCGAGAGGATGGAAGAGAGGACACACACATCCAGGAGCCCGGGAATTATAAAGAGAGTGAACACAGGGAGGGTGATTATGAAGAAGATGCTGGGGGTTAAACTGCGTCTCTAAAATGTTACATTCACATCCTAACTCCTGGGGCCTGTGAAGGTGACCTCGTTTGGAGACAGGGTCTTTGGAGACATAACTAGGATCGAAATGAAGAGAAGGTTCAACTGGAGTGAGGGGGATGGGAAACTTAATCTGCTGTGAGTAGTATCCTAGGAAAAATGGCAGATGAGGCGAGCTCTGGTGGCCTAGTGGCAAGAAGCTGCACTGTAGTCCCAGAAATGGTGGTTCAAATCCACCAGATGCTCTGCTGAAGAAGGAGGGACAATCTCCTCAGTCAGATCCAATTTGACAGTATACATATAAAAAATTTTAAAAAAATGCAGATGAGCCACCTACACACACACACACACATACACAGAAGCACATACATATACACAGAAAGAAGTACATACATATATATGCAAATATATGCAGTGACAAACACATATAAAGAGGCACATACACACAGGCACATACATACACACATAAATGCACATACATACACACAAACAGAGAGATACACACACACACACACGCGAAGACAGATACCATGTGAAGACACTCTAGAAGCAGACAGGAAAGGCCAGGAGAAGCCCAGAACTATGGAAGCAGAAAGCAGCTCCAGATCCCCCCGAGGGCTGACAAGGAGAGCGGGAAAGTAGGACATATGGTCCCAAGGACACCCTGAATTCAGTCCCAGCCTTTAAAACTGCAAAACTGAATGTGTTTCAAAGCCGCCCACCTGTGGTATTCTGGTAAGGCAGCCCCAGCCGGCTAAGACACAGGACAACCACACACTTGTCCTCTCAGGCTGTTTAAAGACCATGGCCAGCTGCCACCTAGACAGCTCCCCCTTCATGGTGACCCCAGGGCATGATACAAAATGCGCCATCCTCATGACTGACTCAGAGGGGACCACTGCAGGGTTTTCACCACTGATGTCGAGAAGCAGATCTCCAGGTCTTTCTTCCTGGTCTCTTATGCTGGAAACTCTGCTCAAACCTGCTCAGCATCTAATAACACAGAAGCCTCCACTGACAGGAGGGTGGTGGCTGCACGTGAGGTGCAGTGATCAGGAATCGAACCCATGTCTCCCACTTGGAAGGCAAGCGCCCTACTAATCACCACTGTCCCATCTGAGGTTATGATGTGTGCACACGGCACACAAGGTGGTCCGCTTGCTAGGAGATGCTGGTCCCAGCTCCCAGCCCCGAGCCCCCCGACCCCGTAGGCCCCTGACCTGAGAAGTCATGCCACACCAGAAATTGGAATACGCTGCCCGCGAGTCCAGCATGGGGGCCACCACCGTCTTGTTCTCGGCCATGAGCAGCGTCAGCGTGTCAGGATTGAGGATGAGGTTATCTGCGTCCACAAACTGCAAAACAACCAGCACAGAGCATCAGTGTGGGGCACATGTGTGACCCAGGGCAGAGGCCGGGCCCCCGGGACTGAACAGCCTGGAGAAGCAGGTGTGACCTGCAGCCCCCGGTGCTCCTGCTGCAGTGTGTCTCTGCCCACTGTGACGAGCTGTGCTGTCAAATGCACACTCAGGGAAAGGCACAAACCACAGCCACACGCAAACCACAACCACACTCAGCAACACAATGAGAGAGTTGGTTGTGTCCGCAGCTGAGTCCCTGGACACTTGGTGACACCAGGCGTAACAGAAACAGAACAAGAGAGTCTTGTGCCATCCTCACAATCAGTTATGGGCACCACTGCCGTGTTCTTTCTCTGACTGGTTTTGGAAAGTTGGTCTCCAGGCCTTTCTTCCTAGTCTTTCTTGGGCTGGCAACTCCACTGACAGCTGTTGGGTGGTACAGCAACATTCCCATCTCCGCCCCCGCTGACAGCCTTGTGGCAGGAAAGTGCACGCTGTGGCTGGGATATCAGCAAGCTGTCCCTCATTCCACAATCTCGTTGGAATCTAGCATGAATTTCTGGCGGCTTCCTGTGGATGTACTGCACTGGCCATTTCTGAATTATCTTCACCAAGATTTGATTTGCATGTGATACGGATCGGTAATTTCCACATTCTGCTGGATCCCCTCTCTTTGAATGGATCTCTTCCCATTGGTTGGCCAGATTGTTGCTATGGACCTTGAGTCCGAACTGACTCTTAATTGACCTTCCAGTGGGGACTCTGGTGGCCTAGTGGTAAAGTGCCGCCCTGCCAAGCTGAAGGCACACGGGTTCGAATCTCCCAGTTGCTCTGCAGAGAAAGACAGGCAATTTCCTCCCGTGCAATTAAACTGCCTCTGAAAATTCTCTGGAGGGTCAGCTATGAGTTGGTTCCGGCCCGATGGCACACAACAACAGAAACAATAAATCACATGGGAGGAGAGTGTCATCTTTCTTCCCCAGAGCAGCTGGTAGATTGGAACCGCCTGCCTTTGTGTTGGTAGCACTGCTCCTTACCCACTAGGCCAAGGGAGCCTAGCAGCTCTGGAAGGTAGAGAGAGAAGTGGGGGGTAATAGAAAGGGGGTGTTATTGCTAAAGAAGCACTGAGTTTCTGTGAGGATGATAAGACAAAAAAACCCCAAAAACCCAAACTTTAAAAAAAAGGGGGAAAAGTAAAAAAAAAGGGGAAAAACAATCAAGGAAACGGCCAAAAAGGCAAAACGTTGCCAAGGAAAATTTTTTTCTTCCTTTCTTTCTTGTTTGTGTACCATCGAGATGGATCTGACTGGCTCAGGAGGAAATTGCCCCTTCTTCTCCAGCAGAGCATCTGGTGGATTCGAACTGCACACCTTCAGGATTGCAGCACAGCTTCTTGCCACTGGGCCACCAGAGCTCCCTTGCTATGTATATTTTACCATCATGTGAACAAAAATGAGCTGTATCGCTAGATAAGAGAGAAGTGGGCCACCTACAGACAGAAGGAAAGATTAGAAACAGGCGGCCACAAGCCCAGAACGCCTGGCAGGAGACATGGGAAGAGAATCTTTCCCAACAGCCCCCTGGAGGGACAAATCCTGCAACACCTTTTAGACCTGTGGCCTCTGGAGCTGTATTTCTGCTCCATGAAAGATGTCAGTTACAGAAGGCCATGCACCGTCAGACCCCAGGAATGCGAAATGCTCAGAACAGTCGGCTCCAGAGACACAAAGTGGCTTAGTGTTTGTCTAGAACTTGGGACAGGCTGAGGAGGAGTGACTGCTAATGAACTTCTCCTTTCAGGGGATAAGAATCTTCTGGAACTAGAGATATTGAGAGTTGTCCACTCTGGTCAACAGACTAAATGCCACTGAGTTGTCCACTTAAAGGGCCAGCCTCCTCTTCACTGTCGCCAAGTTGGAACCGACTCATAGCGGCCCCGCCAGTGGGTTTTCTGAGCTGAAAGTGTCACAGGGAAAGGTCTCTAGGTGGATTTGAATCCTTGAAGGAGCCAGCCCTGCCTGAGCAGCTCGACTCCCTGTGCACTCCACCACCAGAGCTCCTTTTTTAAAAAATTAATTTTAATAAACATTTACAGAGGTTTTGGATTTCCATTCATTCATTGCTGCACTTTTCTCCCTGCCCACCCCTCCCCACCAGTTCGCTCCCTTCTCTGAAAAGAAAAATAATAAAAAAAAATTCCTTCATTAGTATACAATTCCCCCATCCCTTTTCCCCCACCCCCAACCCCGAGTACACTTCCCTATGCAACCTTAATTCTGGATTCCTGTGTTAACCATAATACTCAATCATATATCACTTCTAATCTGTTCTTTTAAATGGCTCATTTCATGCTATACAAAATGTCCCTGAAAACAACCACCACCACCAAAAGAAACAGTGAGAAAACAGGCGCTCTGGGATGGATGGAAGATTGCAAGGTTTTGTTTTATTTTCTTTTAGCTTTTTATGCTTCAGTAATTTTTATATTTTTTCTTGTGTTTCTTTCCTACAAAAGAAAATTTATGCTTTTCTCTTAAAATAAATATTCACTGTTTTTGTAAAAAAAAGAAGAAGAAGAAGAAGAAGAGGAGGTCGGCTTTTTTCACAAATATTTTCTAACATTAGACAAGTGACTTCGCATTCCAATGTAAATTTCCAAAGTCCCCACTTGCAAAAATCCCATTTTGTGTCAAAGGCAGCTTTAAGTCTGGGGCCAACACCTTGAGTCCCACCCAGGTTTGGGGAGCGGAAGACAGAAAGCCGGCCAACCTCAAACCGCGAAAAGCAAATGCAGAGAAGCAGGACAGAGTGGCCCTGTGCAGGCGGCCGCCCCTGCCCCATCTGTGAGCCCTGCAGGCGCTGGGACCCCCACCAGGTGACTTGTCAGCTGCCTCTCAAGCCTCAGCTGCAGAATGGTCAGATACACGGCTGTTACAGGGCTGTTATCGGTTGTGTTGGGAGGTGGTAGAGGCAACAGTGGGGGGATTTTACGACAGACAATCTGGTCTTTGGACCTGGTTCCGGGGAGCCCGCACCAGTCCTGAGAACAGTGCATAAAGGCTGCGCAGCCCAAGGGGACCTTCTGGGAAGGATGTGGACTAAGGCCGGGAAAGCCTGGCGTAAGTACTCTTGGCCTCAGAAGTTAAGAGGCTCGGATACAGCTTCCAGAGTAGAAAGTGAATGGAAGTCTGAAGGCAGGCACACCCCCTGGGAACGTGGAAACTCCAGGGCCAGACCCTTCCCAGACACCCCCTAGGAGCCTGCAGGCTTTTATCTGCTGGAGTAAAGACAGTCCTTCCCCCCGAGTTTCTCAACACTAATCTCCCAATGAGTCAGACCCGACTCATTGCTGATCCTCCAGTGGGTTTTCCAGAGGCTGTAAAGTGAGCACACGCGCGCGCACACACACACACACACACACACACACACACACACATTGCCCATCTTTCTCCCAAGAGGTGCCAACTTTGGATTAACAACCCAATTCTTTACAGATGACACCACCAGAGCTCTCGAACAGGCTACTGAACCTAAGGAAACAAAAACTGGAGGTTTAAAGGTCATTGGTTCAAATCCACCAACCCCTCTGTGAGGGAAAAAAAGCAACAACCAGGTAGTCTCCTCCTTAAAGCTTTACAGCCCAATATGGGAATGACCGCATGAAACAATGTGACGAAGGAAAGCGTGACACTTAATGTATATGATATTTTTTATGCAAACCAATATAAAATTTAAAAAATTTTAAAAAGCACAACTTTACAGCCCCAGAAATTCAATGGAGGGTCACTAGGAGTCAGAATCCATTCGGCAGAAGGGGTTTGGCTTTGGTGAGAACAGAGAATAGCTGGGGTCTGGAATGACCAGAGATTTCGCCAGTATGTTTGATAGAAACTGGGTGAGAGGCATGGAGAAGATTCTCCTCACAAACAATTCATACCACCAACATCCTGCCTGCTGGCCTTCAACTTCAACCTCAACAGTCGGCTCGCACACCAGCCACTGTAAGCTTCTAAAAATTATAAAGTTGATCACAGACATGCCCTGCTCAAACACTCTCCATGGCTCCCTAGTACTCTCAGCATACAAACCAACTCTCTCCCTCAGCCTGCATGGTCCAGCCTCCTGCCTGTCACCAGTACCTCATGCCTTCCGTCCTCACCTCCTGCTCCAGCCACTGTGCCATTCCTGGAATTCCCCAAGCCCGCTCCCACCCATTTTCTCTGCCCAGGAAACAATTCTCCCAGTTCCTCACATTGCTCCGCTCCTACAGATCTGAGCTCAAATCCCTGCTTGAGGAGGCTGTTGGTCCTGCTCATGCCACCTCAGTGCCCAGTGACAATGTCCTCCCAGCACTGGCTGCCTCTGACTAGGCCCTGGATTAGCTTTTTTTTTGCTTCCCAGTCAAGTGCATTTTTCCTCTGGGTTGAGCCTGTGCTGGTCCTCGCAGTGTGCTTGGGCCCAGCACAGGACCAGAACACAGAAGGGGCTTGTAGCTACATGATGAATAACAAAGAATGTTCTGGTCACAGCTCAAGAGAGAAGTAACCAGAGGCAAGGGTGGGCTGTCATTATTACGTTCCAGCGCTGTGCTGAGCCAGGCCTGGGCACCCATGCCCTCATAGAAGCTGCCGGGAGAGAGCCGGGCAGCATGGCACCCAGGCCAAGGGGACGGGTTATGGAGCCCACAGCAGCACAGATCCCAGTAAGACGGTGTCCCAGACTTGACAGTTTCCTTGCCTTCCAGAAGGAGCTATGGACCCAAGCAAGGGGAAGTAAGAGTGACGGCTTCGGCAGCCCCTGGCCTCAAGACTGTCCTTCTGATTCTCAGAAGTGACCTGGGGTTATTGGGGGAAGACCCTGAAGGTCTGGTGTCATTTATGGTAGGGATAAAAGTGGAGACCCAAGGATCTAACCACGAAAGGGAGCCCAAGATCAAACTCCAGCCAGCCTACCTTGGACTACTCACATCCCCTCTTGGGGCCTCAGTTTCTCCCTCTATAAAATGGGTAAGGATGGCACCCACGCCCACTGCAGAATCTTCCCCAGGCTGCCCAGTACAGAAACTCACCAGGATGTAGTCGGCCCACATGTCCCGTGCAGATTTCAGGGCTGCCTGGCGCAGCTTCATGATGTGCTCGTAGCGAGAATCCGACCAGTGTTTGGGGCCTTCCTCATCTGGATAGGACCTGTGGGAGAGACCTCTGTGTGATATAAGAGGCACAGAGTGCTGGCAGAGTGCAGAGAGTATCTGAGCCAGCTTAGGTGCAATCAGAGAGGGCTCCCTGGAGGAAGGAGCATGTTAGCTAGAGGACAGCAAAGAAAGAACAAGACCAAACAACTATGAGATATCATCTCACCCCAGTAAGAACAGCAAAGTCTAACAGAACAGCAAGCAACAAATGCTGGTGAAGTTGTGGAGAAACAGGAACTCGTATTCACTGTTGGTGGGAGTGTAAAATGGTTCAACCACTGTGGAAGGCAGTATGCTGCTTTCTCAAAAAGTTACAAATAGACATACCATTTGACCCAGCAATTCCACTACTGGGAATATACCCCAAAGAGACCATAACTGCCACCTAAGCAGATATATGCACACCCGTGTTTACTGCAGCTTTGTTCACAATAGCAAAGAGCTGGAAACAACCTAATTGCCCATCAACAAACAAATGGATAGAGAAGCTGTGGTATATTCACACAATGGAATACTACGCTGCATTGAAAAACAAGGAACTCATGCAATATTATTCCAAATGAGTGACCCTGGAAGACATTATGCTGAGTGAAATATCTCCATCACAAAATGAAAAATACTGCATGGTGCCACTGTTGTAAAATAGGACTGACACTGGAGTTGGGGGAAGACTGAGAAAGGTGGGATAAATAATGTATACTGCATTGAAATGGAGAGAACTGTTTAAAAGGTATATATGATTAGGTATTATTGTCATGACAAGAGTCCAGAATGAAGGCTGCATAGTGGAGTGGACCTGGGGGGAGGGCCTGCATAACAATGAAAGAATGTTTTCTTTTACTTTTCAAAGAGAAGAGTGTACTTGGGGCAGGGGAGGGGTGGACAGGGAGAAAAGTGCAACAATGAATGAATGGAAATCCAAAGTCTCTGTAAATTTTCACTAATAATAATAATAATAATTAAAAAAAAAGAAAATATAAGAGAGAAGTATTTCCCAGGCAGGAACACTAACAAACACAGGTGTCACTGAGTTCCCCTGAATCCTGATGTCTCTGTGTGTATCAGAGGGTTGTGCATCATGGAGTTTTCAGGCCCAAGCTGCCAGGCCTCTCTCCTAAGTGCATCTGTGTGGACAACTCCTCTAACTCAGTTAGGAGTCAACTACTTAACTGTATGCTCTACCCAGGGACTCCAGGAAGGGGCACAGCATGTGCAAAGGCCCAGGAAGAGGGGTAATGTGGTGTCTGGAGGCTAGTGTGACTCAGTGTGACTGGGGCGGGGGGAGAAGGGGCCTCCAGTGCAACAAGGGTGTTCTCCAGAGGGGTGACGAGCTCCAGGGCCGAGACAGAACACAGAGCAGGGACAAGCTCAGGGCCTAAGTGTGCCGAGCAGCCAGTGAGTGGCGTCATCAGTGGCTGTCAAGTCGGTCCCCAACTCAAGGCGACCCCATACACCATGGAATGAACTGCTGCCCAGTCCTGTCCCATCCCCACCGTCAGTTCCCCTGGTGACCTGTAAGCGCTCACTGGCTGATTTTTGGAAGTTCATGGCCAGACTTTTCTTCTTAGCCCATCTTAGTCTGTAAGTGCCACTGAAAAGTCCTCAGCATCACAGCAACACGAGAGCCTCCAGTGGTGGCTGCAGACGAGGTGCACTGGCTGGGAATGGAACCCGGGTTCCCCACACGGAAGGAAAAAGCATTCTACCCCTACGTCAGCACTGTGGGATGGAGGGGGAGGGAAGAGGAACGAAAAAGGAGGAACAGAGAGAGAGAAAGAAACTGAAAGGGGAGAGAAGTACCAGGGGTCTGCACTGCTCTCGGAGTTACAGGAAGCAAAATAGAGGGGAGAGGGAGCTCTGGTGGCCTAGTGGCAAGAAGCTTTGCTACAATCCCGAAGCTGCATGGTTCAAATCCATCAGATGCTTTGCTGGAGAAGGAGGGGCAATCTCCTCCTGTGCCGTTCAGATCTGATTTGATGGTACACAACAAGAAAGAAAAGATAAAAAAATAATAGTGGGGAGATTGTGGGATTAAGATAGAGGGAGACAGGGAAAAAGGATGGGCGTCTCCCAGAAATGCAAGGAGTGAGGAAAGGCAGTGCAGAAAGCCAGGCTGGGGCAAAGGTCTGCAGGAAGATTAAGATTCCTGCCCATTGTTGAAGGTGAGGATGGGTCTGAGGAATCAGAGTTGAAGAGGTGCAGAGCTGGGCTGAGAAGCTGGGCTTTTGCTGCAGGGCAATAGGGAGCCACGGAGGGTGTGTGAGCAGGGGCAGGGCTGCTGTGCTCACCTGGGCTCCTCAGCTGGCCTCCACTCCACAGAGTGGTACAGACTCTTCACCGCCACCAGCCACTCCCGAAGCACGGCAGACGTGTTGTCCACATTGTGGTCAGTAGCCACCCTGCAGTTGGGGGCAGGGGGGACAGTCAGCGAGGCCACACAGAACCCACAGGCTGGCTCAGTCCCCACTAACTGTGTGACTCTGTACAAGATGCATCCCTTCTCCTTGCCTCAGTTTCCTCATCTCTAATGCAGGTTTGATGAAAAGGACTCCACAGGGCTAGCAAGGCGATTCAATAGGCTAAATTTGAATGTGGGTTCTAGAATAACTAGGATGCAAGACCTGTGTTTTGGGACTCAAAGTGTGCATGGTGATAAAAATTCGTCCAGCTTTCAATGTTTCTCTTCTAAGGGTCCCACCTCCTCAGAGTGGGCTGGGTCACTCTTCATTCAACAAATATTTGTTCAATACCAACTATATGCTTGTGTGATCAGAGGCTGTGGAGCCTGGGGCAGAGACGAAGAGGACTCCTTTGGGAGTTCAGTATGGCCAAACAGCCCAAAGGCATTCTTCCTGAGTCAGTAAAAACAACAGCAGCAATCAGAGCAACGATGAGGAGCACAAACAAGAGTAACGCTGATCACAGTGCTGGTTTCAGTGCACAGCGCTAAGGACTTCATGTCTAAGAACTGATAAATCCTCAGAGATGAATGCAAGAAGAGTTGTTATAATAATATCCCCATTTCCCAGATGAGGAAACCAAGGTAGGAGGCGCCAAGACCGGAATCTGAGGCTTCTCTCCACCCCCCACCCCCCCCATCACCTTCTTTTATTCCTACAGGAAGACTTCCCTTTCTGTTGGATCCACTTCTGCTTCCCCTCTCAGCCCTCATGGTCCTATCTCTGCATCCACACTTGGGTCAGGGAGGGCAGTCAGTGGTCCTCAAACTCAGAAGGGGTGGAGGGGGCAGCGGCTACCTTGGGCAGCCCCCACACACCCCGGGAGATGTTAGGGAGTTAGTCCCAGACAGCTGGAGGCCAGCAGACAGGGCAGTGGCCTGACCCTACCTAATGGGGCAACACTCATAAACTGCCTCCCACCCAGATGGACTGAAGGGTGGAGCAGCAAGCAGAGGGCACAGCAGGCCACCCTGATGCGTGGTACAGGAGGCGGTGCAAGCCCCAGGCCCCCTCATGAAAGGCCAGACAGCAAGGCACAGTGTGAAACTTCCCCGGCAGTGGGCAAGGTTAGGGTCTGGGGCAGCTCAGTGAGACTCAGCAGTCAGACCACGGCCTGGTTCACCCTTGTGTTAGGGAAGGAGTTGTGACAAAAAGCAGGGACACGTGGGGGCCCAGCCACCCCAAATGTGGGCAGCAGGCAGCGCGCAATTCACTCTCCTTGAAGGGCACCAGTGGACAGGGTTAAGGTATAGGCCATCCCAAAAAGGGGCAGCAGGCAGGGTTGGCGCCCATCCCAGCTCATGGGGGGCAATCAAGAGGGTTAGTCTGGGTCCCAGCCCAGCTCGATGGGGAGCAGCAACGAAGACAGCCGGCGGGGTGCGGTGTACACCCGCTGGAACGAGGTCAGGAGGCAGGGTCAGGGCCTGGCCCGACACAGCGGGCGGCACCGGGCAGGTCAGCGCTCGGGGGTCCGGGGGGGGGGGGGGGGCGGCTCACCACAGCGCCGTGCGCTCCCGAGGGTGCCGCAGCCGCTCCAGGGCGCCCAGCGTGGCGGGCAGGGCGGGGGCCGCGTTGCGCGCCAGCAGCGCGATCAGCACACGCGGCGCCTGCAGCGGGGACTCGGGCGTCCAGCGCTCCTCGGGGAAGTAGGCGGAGGCGCCCGGGGGGCCGCCCGGAGGTGGCAGCGCCAGCAGCAGCAACAGCAGGGCCGGGAGCGGCCTCCCGCGCTGCCCGGCCGCGCGTGGGGCCGCCGCCATCGCGCCACGCGTCGCCTTTAAGCCGCTTTTCTGCCGGCCGAAGTGGCCGCGCCTTAAAGGAGTTCCCGGGGGCCCAACCCCGAAATTGCGCCTTGAAGTGGAGGCGGTGCCTGGCGTGACGTCAGCCCTCAGACACGCCTCCCAAGCCCCATCCATCTCCCGCCTTAAAGGCACACAGCTCTCCAGAAGAAAGGCCATCTGTTCCTTTGCTGGTTACAACCTCAGAAACCCGCTGGAGAGTCAGCCATGAGTCAGTTTGGTCTCCAAAACAATGAATGTGAGTTGTTGCTTACATGACATTGGGGGCCACTGAGTATTAAATGACTGGAACCTGGTGTTGGCAAACCGAGGTTCAAATAAAGCCTCCACAACGAGATCACTCTGTTAACCTCAGTTTGTCCATCTGTAAAATGGGATCATAATGTACTTACCTAGGCTGAGCTTGAAGATGGGGTCCAACAATCCTGAAGCTGGAACTAGTGCTTAAGTGAGGTGGGAAAAGAGGTGTGTGTGTGTGTGTGTGTGTGTGTGTGTGTGTATTGCTGAGTTTGAACCGACTCATAGCTGGCCTTCCAGGAGGTTTTCAGAGTCAGTAAATCTCACAGGAGGAAACTGTCCATTTTTCTCCTGTGGAGCAGCTGGTGGCTTCAAGCCTGCCTTTGGATTGCCAGTGCAACTCCTTACCACTAGGCTACCAATGTTCACTTGAACGATGCTTTGTATTGATATACTAAAAGAATGTAATTAATTTCTTATACATAGCGAATGTGTCCCCATTCTACTGCATGCGGGCAGTAGCTCTTGGAGCCTAAGGGTGTAAAATGTGGAGTGGCAGGAGCCCCTGGGTGGTACAAATGGTTCCCTCTCAGTTGCTAACCCAAAAGGTTGGTAGTTTAAGATTGTCAGTGTGATTCCACTCCAAGACCTGGGAGTTGCCTTCCTTAAAAATCAGCCATTGAAAATGTGTGAGGCACAATTCTACCCCGATACTTATGGGGGTCCCCAGAAGGTGCAATTGACTGGATGGCAACAACTTTGACGAGGAGAGTACATCATCCCATCTCAATCCATTCCTCTTCCTCCTTTCTTCTCTTCTTCTGTTTCCAAATTTTTGGAAACAGATTTTGATGGGATGACAGGTTGACCCAGGAGCAGGGGTTGGAGAAAAAGGACAGAATGTCCTCCCACAAGTAGTTTCTGCTGCCTCTCATCATGGGGACTTAGAGGCGCCACTTTGGAGTATTATTATGGGTTGAACTGTGTCTCTATATTATGGGTTGAACTGTGTCTCTAACAAAAAAAGAAACCAACTTATGTTAACTTATTAACCCTGGGTGGGTGAATGTGGTGGTGCTCGGGAAAAGAGGATTCTTTTTGTTTGCAGATATTATCCACTAACAAACATACTGGGGTGAGATGGGTCCTGATCTTAAGTCCTTCTCAGTGATGTCTAACCGGCAGATGGAAATAGTCACACACAGGAGCAAGACTGTGTAAGGAGCCACCTATAATTCAGCAAATTCCAGGTGCTGCCAAAACATGAAAGAGACAAAGGAAGTGGAAGCAACTCAAATGCCCATCAACAAACAAATAGATTAAAAAACTGTGGTACTGTCATACCATGGAATATTACACAGCACTGAAAAATGGTGAACTCGTAAAATATTACACAACATGGAGAAGCCTGGAGGATATTACACTGAGTGAAATTTCTCAGTCACAAAAGGACAAATACTGCATAACACCACTGCTATAAAATAGAACAGACATGGGGAGATTGGGGAGAGAATGGGGATAGAGTGGATAGGTAATGAACACTGCATTAGATCAGATGAGGGGCAGAACTGTCCCAAAGGAATATCTGATTAGGCATTGCACGTATGACAACAATCTGGAACAATAGGTGCTTCGCCGGGAGGGCAGGGGGAAGAGGGAGTGGGGGGGGGGGAAATGTAAAAACTAAAATAAAACATTTTTATGTTAATTTTTTTAAAGACAAAGGAAGATCATCAAAGGGAGGCAGAGAGAGAGAGAGAACAAGTATAGCACAGAGTTCAGATTCCCAGCCTCCGTCCAGATCCGTGAGACAATAAATTCTTGTTCTCCAAAACCACGCACTTTGTGGTATTTGCTTCCAGGAGACTGAAACAGCGTGTTTGATACGTCATGTGTTAAAAAGTGAAAAACCAACTCACACTCTATGGATCTGCTGAGTAAAGATTTTTCTTTCCTGTTAAAATCAAAACCAAACAAGCCAAGCAGTTGGTTCTGATTCACAGGGACCCCACGTATATAGAGCAGAACTGTCCTAGAGTTTTCCAGGCTGTGGCTTGCCAGGAGTGGATCGCCAGTCCTGTCCTTCGAGGTGTCTCTGGGTGAGTTTTCACTGCCAGACTTTTAGTCAGTAGCTGAATTCTAAACCATCGGCACCACTCAGGGTTGCCCGTTTTCATACTAAGTAAGGAAAAATATGGGCCAAGCCATGTCTCACCTCACTGATCCTATTTCATACCCAGACCATGAGAAAAGACTAGAAAGATTTATATCCGAGGGCAAACTGGTTTCCTCAAGGGTGACAAATTCTTTTTTTTAACTTTAGTATTTCCAGAAGGAATATCTGAATATCTATGTCATGGGTAAGGAGAAGACCAAGTTAGATAAGGCCGAGGATGACAAAAATATCTCAGTGGTAGGGGGTGGGGAAGCAGAGAAAAGAGAATCTTGTTCCCTGGGGAGAGGTTGAAAACTCCAGAAGAGAATGTGAGGAAATCATTTCCCCTGAAAGCTGAACTGATAGAACATCAGGGGAAATCCCTCCCGGAACCGGCTCTGCTCCGGAAGCAGCTGTAAGCTTGTGACAGATGAGATGCTGCCAAGCTCTCTCTGTGAACAGACGCTTTCTGGCACTCACAGGGCATCAGTAAAAGCCTAAGTCTCAACCAGGATGAAGAATGTGGCAAGTAAGCAAATCCAAAAGGCCCACAGCAAGCTGAGAAACAGTATTTCAAACTGTATAACAAAGTCTTAATGTTCTTAACATATGAAGAGCTGTTGTTAGGTGCCATCGAGTATGACTCATAGTGATCCGATGAACAAAAGATCTGAACCCCCAGCCTATCCTGCGCTGTCCTCATACTTCCTGACACAGTGCCCATTGTAGCAGTCATTGGGTCAATCAACCTGATTGAGGGTCTTCCTCTCCTTCGCCAACCCTCCACCTTTCCCAGCATCATGTCCCTCTCCAAGGAATAGCATCTCCTAGCAATATGTCCAAAATATGTGAGGCAAAGCCTCATCATTCTTGCCTTCAAAGAGCACTCTGGCTGCACCCTCTCCCAGACATATCTGTTCGTTCTCTTGGCCATTCATGGAATGTTCAGTGCTCTTCTCCAACACACCACAGCTCAAAGGCATCATCGATTCTTTTTCTGTCATCCTTATTCAACATCCAACTCTCAGATGCATAGTAAATGATTGGAAAGACTATGGCCTGTATCAGACACACCTTAGTCCTCAAACGGATATCATTCCTCCTCAATAATTTGGAGAGGTCCCTAACTGCAGGCCTTCCCCAGTGCAATGTGTCTCCTGATTTCCTGACTGCTGCTGGTACCAAGGGTATTAATAGTGGATCCAAGCAGGGTGAAGCTGTTGACAGTTTCAATCACTTCTCCGTCCATCATGACACAGCCTATCAGTCCGGTGATAAGAATCTTTGTTTTCTTGAGGCTGAGATGCAAATCCATACTGAAGGCTGCATTCCTTGATCTTCTGCAACAAGTGCTTCAAGTCCTCCTCACTTTCAGCAAGTAAGGTGTGTCATCTGCACAAGAGCTGTTAGCCATCAATAAGAAAAATAAAAACTCCACAAGTGGAAAAATGGAGCAAAGCCATGAACTGACAATGACCTAAAACAGGACATATAAACGGCCAATAAACATATTTTTTTAAGTGCAGGTCATTCATCAAGGAAACAAAAATAATTTTATTTCTTTAATGAGATTTATTTTATTTGACATTTACAACCTTGGAAACCCAAAAGAGGGTCAGCTGTGAGTCAGTTCCGACTGGATGGCATTATGAGCATAAGAGTGTGACTCTTAGCATTTCTTTCTTTTCGTGAGAAGACTGATAAGGAAAACACCTCACAAATGTGGCTCATGGGGAGAATGAGGTTCGGGTGAGTGTTACAAAAGCTTTGAAATGTCAGCTATTCTTGGACCAAGAAATTCTATTTACAGACATTTCCCAATAGGGAGAGGTGAATGTGGGCCAAGATTTAACTCTGGAATGTTCTTTCAGGAGGCAGTGGGCAGAGTGATTGACTGGACTTCAGTACTGGTGCCTGGTGTTCTAGGGCAAGTGGCTCCCCTTCTCTGAGCCTCAGTTTCCTCATCTGTAAAATGGAAAATATTATGGAGAAGATACAAACCATACATGTCTGATATGTGGCGTGTAATGAGTGCTTGAATTCTTGACTTCTATGTAGAAGACCCAGGTTTGACTCAATGGACCTCATGCAGAACCCCCACCTGTCTTGTGTGTTGCTAGGATGCTAAGAAGGCTTCAGTAGAACTTCCAGACAAAGAAGGACTAGGAAGAAAGACCTGGCATTTGATTTCCCAAAATTAGCCATTAAAAATGCTACGTGTCACAGTGTCCCAAACCACAAGTGAACATGAGGATGGGGCAGTGCTGGGCAGCTTCATTCTGTTGTGTGTGGGAGAAGCTAGCAACAACCACAGTGTGACATACCCAGCCAGTCAGTAGAGGCCAAACCGGTGTAGAATGATCCTAAATCAAATCACCTCTGGGTTTTAGAGAAAGCAGGACAGACACACACAGGGGAAGACAGATGCCACAAGAGGACTGTCTACAATCCAATGAAAAAGGAGCACGGGGCTACGGACAAGAAGACAAGGAAGGAATTGACACAGCCAATCCCCTGCTCGGGGCTTCTGGTTGCCAGCCCTAAAATAGATTTCTGTTCTTAAAAGCCACTCATGTGGTGTTTCTGTTAAAGCAGCTGTCGGAGACAAACAGAGGCCAAGCCTGGGGCCTTTCCAGTGTCTCTGCCTCTGAGCACTGGATTATGGGCAGCCTGCCCACAGATCTGCTTCCAGCTGGACCAGTTGTTTTCTGCCTGTTTCAAAGACATCCACATTCAAATCTGAAGCCACAGATGAGTCTGCCCCAGCCCCGAGCCTCAGCCAATGGCACACCCGAGGTTTCCACTCGTCCTCTCTCCCCTTCTGGTATTGGAACAGGAAGAATTTTCTGGAAGAAGCCTTACCCAGTCCTGGATAAATTCATCACTATCTCAGCTCCCTACAGTTGAGCTCTCGTACATGCCAGCCCTGGACTTCAAGGGTACCTCCATGGTTCTAACACAGTCCATGGCTCCCCCTTGTCCTTGTATGCCATGAGTATTATCAGGGCAGGAAATAAGGTACATGTCATTCCATCCTCAACCTTACACTAAAGAGCACCTCAGCCCCTACACAGGGCCCCTATACCCCAGGGATGCACTGGTTGAGTTCATGGATGTTTAGACCCTCACCTGCTCCCTCCTGGTTTCATGGGGCGTCTAGGAAGCCATCCGGAGTGCAGGACACTTCATTTGCACCAAATGCCCTTTTCAGTTCTGAAACGAGATAAGCCAGCAAGCCCCTGGGGCCCATCTGAGGAAGCCTAGGCATCATTTCCTTCTATGCATCTGAAAGTTGGATAATGACTGACCATGAGAGAAGATGATATCACTGGTGCCACAACTACTTGTAAACCTAGCTCAATGTCTTTGAGAAGAGTGTCGAATGCCCCATGGACTGTTAAAAGGACAAACAAATCTGGCTTAGAGAAAATGCAACTGGGGTGCTCTTTGGAGAAAAGAATGGTGAAACTTGCTCTAACATACTTTGGGCATGTTGCCAGGAGGGGCCAAGACCTTGGAGGACAACAGCTTGGAAAGGGTCAGCATAAGAGAAGACCACCCTCAACAAGATGGGATTGACACAGTTGCTGTAACAAAGGGATCAAGCATACTGGGCATGGTGAGAATGGCACAAGATAGGGCAAGATTCAAACGCATTGTTCACAGGATTTGTAAGTAACAACTCAACACAACTGCATGTATTAAAGGACAGCAAAACCTGTATATGCATTTCCCCAGAGAGGCCACTAGAGGGCAGAAGGTAGCAACAAACTTCTGAATCAAGATTCCTAAAGAAAGGGAATCTTGTCCACACACTTGTTTCTTGCAAGCAAGGTTTTGTCATCTACATAGGCAGGTTGTTGATGAGTTCCTTCAATCCTTATGCCACATTCTTCTTCACAGAGTCTAGCTTCTCGCATGATTTGCTCTTTGTACAGACTGAACAAGTATGGAGGAAGGATACAGCCCTGACACACACCTTTCCTGATTTTAACAGATTTTCGCAGTGTTCTCTTGCTCTGTTCAGACAACAGCTCTTGATCTAAGTATATATTTTGCACAAGCACAGTTAAATGTTCTAAATTCCCATTCTTCTCAACGTTAGCCATAGTTTATTCTGATCCACACAGTCAAATGCATTTGCATAGTCAATAAAGGGCACTTCTGGTATTTTCTGCTTTCACCCTGGGTCCATCTCACAGAAGCAATGATATCCTTGGTGACAGAGCTGCTTCTAAATCCAGCTCAAACTTCTGACAGTTCTCTGTCAAATACTCACTGCAGAGGAACAAGGACTACAGCCTTCAATATGATTGCAACTCAACATCAAAAAGACAAAAATTCTCACCACTGGACCAATAGGCAACATCATAAGTGGAGAAAGGTTTAAATTGTCAACTGTTTGATCTTACTTTGAGCCACAATCAACACTCTTGGTACTAGCAGTCAGGCAATCAGGAGACACATTGTATTAGACAAATTCACTGCCAAGGAGCTCTGGTGGCCTAGTGGCAAGAAGTTGCACTGCAATCCCAGAGATATGCAGTTCAAATCCACCAGATGCTCTGCTGGAGAAAGAGGGGCAAGATCCTCCTGTACTAGTCAGATTGGGTTTGATGGTATACACAAAAAAATAATAATTTTTTTTTAATTCATTGTCAATGAGCTCTCCAAATTACTGAGCAATGATGTCCATTTGAAGACTAAGGTGCACCTGATTCAGGTCATGATCTTTTCAATCACTTGCTATGCAATCAGGGAGCTGGACAATGAATAAAGATGACAGAAGAACTGATGTCTGTGAGTTGTGGTGTTAGAAAAGAGTAATAAATATCTCATGGACTGCAAAAAAAATAACAAAATCCAAATAGGTCTTAGAAAAAGTGCAGCCAGGGTGCTCTTTGGAGGCAAGAATGGCAAAGCTTTATCTTGCATATTTTGGGCATGTTTCTAGAAGAGGCTATTCCTTGTAAAGGGCTATCATGCTTGGAAAGTCATTGGATCCTCAAAGAGGAAGACTCTCAGTGAGATAGACTGACACAGTGACTGCAGCAAAGGGCTCAAGTGAGGCTGGTACAGGAGGGGAGAGAGCTGTTGTTCATAAGGTTGCTATGAGTCATACCTGACAGCACCTAACAACAACAACCACACACCTGTACCCACGGCAGACACTGAGAGCGCATTTCCACTGTGTTCTCTGGATATCCCTAGTCCCTCGTCTCAATACAACTCACAATCAATGGGAGATGGCTACTCCTAGGGTCAATAACAAACCCTCTGGAATAAGGTCAAACCCTCAGAGGCAGCAAGGACATGTGTTCCTGGATTCAAGTCTTTTGTGCAAAGCTTACTCTGAGTAGTATTGGACTCGACGACACTTAACCACTGCTAAATGAGACTAATGCTGTTATATCTGGAGGAACATTCTTCCACTTTGCACATCACTCTCTGTCAAATGTGCTGTATGAATTAACCTGGGTTTGCTATGTTGCTAAACCTTGTGCCATTGAGGTATCAAATACCAGAATGGCTTCCCATTGTTTGGTGGAGCTCCCAGTTGTAAAACAGGTTTGGAAGCAGGAGGGACATCCACTTCCTAAACCACATGCCTCTGGAAACTCTATGAACTTGGAGAAATGACGATAGTTATGGAAAGGCATTAGGTCTTTTGTTCATAGAGTAACTATGAGTCATGCGTGACTCGACAGCAATTAACAACAACAACAACATCAGAGGACAGGCTTTGTCTATTGAACATTCCCCTAATCTGATTCTGGAGCATTAAGTTTTATATTAATAATTTCATATATTGATGCAGAGAGAAGGAAATGCTACCAAGCCGAAGGTGGGTGACTTTTAATCTGCGGCCCTCGGGCCTGTCTTTCATTGTTTTTGTTCAGACATTCCTCTAGGTCATATAGCCC